CGTAGGAGACACTACATATATGTTTGAGTCCATGTGTGAATTCCTAACTCCTGGAGTTGTTGGGAACACGTGCTCAGTAAATGCAAATACTTGTCCTCCTTCCCCCAAACATGTGCCCCGTTGCTGTATCTGCCACCTCAGTCTGAATCCTTTCTGTAATCCTTGCGAAGTTAGAGAGGTGGCCTCATTGGCACAGGGCCACCCGGCAAAATGTCCAGCAGGCCCCCAATTGAAACCTGAATTTGTTCAACCTCAAATGCCCAAGTTCTGGAACACAGCCGGTGCTTAATAAATGACCATCCCTTTTCTCTGTCACTGCCTTGCCCAAGCAGTGACCCGCCTTTCTGGCCAAAAGTAGAATGTGGACAAAAGTAAATGCACCTGGCTTGAGGCTTCAGGAGCACGATCCCCTCCCTTTCCGGATCCGAAAGCCCTCTCTCCCCCTCCATAACACCCCCGACCCCTCAGTCCACAGGAAACGTGTGGATGACGCACGAAGAGATGGAGTCCCTTACGGCCACGACTAAGCCTGTGAGTGCCCCCTGTCGACGGCCTTGGGGGCGGCACTAACTCTCCCTGGGGAGGCGTGGCGGGGGCGAGTCTGTGGCTGTCCGTGTGTTCGTTCCTCCTGCCTTCCTTCATCTGCCCCCTAACCCACCCCTTCTCTCCCTTCTTCCCACTAACGGGTCAGGAGACCAAGGAGATCAGCTGGGAGCAGGTAGGGGGCGCGGGGCGGGACGTGGGCGCATGAACAGGCTGTGCACGCTGCATGGACGCCCCTTCTTTTCCGAGCCCCGCCCCTACCCTCGCCGGAGCATTCCATCATCACCACGCGGGGGCGCTGCGCGGAGCTCGGCTCTGGACTGTCTCACTGTGGCTTGGTGGGGGTCTGTGTAGAAGCCCAGGGGTTCCATTGTTAGCTGTTAGCGCGGTGCACGGGCCATTCCATTACCGTGGGTTGCGGGGGCTCCAGAGGTTGTTCTATTGCTGTAACTAGAGGGAGGCACGGTGTCCCCGGTTGCTCGATGGTTGAGGGGAAAGGACCGTCTCAGTGTACCGGGCAAAGGGGAAAGCCTTTGAAGGGGCAGTATATCAGGTCGAGGGGATGGGAAGGAGGAGCCCCGCTTTGTTCTGAAGAAGGGGGAGGCATGAACTCAGCTGAGATGGAAGAATTGTGTCGGACTGGGCTTCCTGTTTCCAGTCAGGGGGAGGCATGGATTGTTTCCTTATGTAAAAGTCAGTGAACGACTTTGGGCTGATCGAGAATACTGTCCTGGGCCAAGTACCACATTAAACTAGAATTTTCCAGACAGTGCAAGAGTGATGGATGGATCCATTACTCTCTGTTGTGGGGAGAGCTGTGTTGGAAGAATCCATTCTCTTGCCTCGGAGGAGTGGTGATCATGGACTGATCTGTTGTACTGAGTTGGGACAACGCTAAACCAGTGCTTCTCACACTCTAATGTACAGTTCACGTCACCTGAGGACCTTGTGAGAATGCAGATTCTGATTTAGTAGCCTGGGCTCTGAGGTTCTGCAATTCCAGCAAGTTCACAGGTGATGGTGATGCTGTGGGTCCAAGGACCTCATCTGAGTAGACAGGGGTCTGTTCTGTCCTTATGAAGGACATCAGCTTTGGATCGACCCACTGTCCTGAGCAGAGATTGGCCATTGTCCTGCTGTGGGGTGGATAAAGAACCACCTTGGGCTGGGGGGTTAGACTGTGCCCTTTCATACATACATGGGAGAGGGGTCAGAGGGCCTGACCCCTCCTCCACCTGCCCATGGCCCCAGATCCTGGCATATGGCGACATGAACCACGAGTGGGTGGGGAACGACTGGCTGCCCAGCCTGGGGCTGCCCCAATACCGCAGCTACTTCATGGAGTCGCTGGTGGATGCCCGCATGTTAGATCATCTTAACAAGAAGGAGCTCCGAGGCCAACTCAAGATGGTGGATAGCTTCCACAGGTGGGGGCAGCCTGCCCAATGAGGGGAGTCCAGGGGGGAACCCCACTCCTAGAGAGTCTTTGGCCGATGGGACTGGTGATAGGAAATGCTTTGGGTTATCGGTGGCCCTTTAGAGTGGATTCTCAGGAAATTGACTCCAGTGCCCCTTCCAGCAATAAGATGGTCCACTAGGAAAAGTCCAAATTCTGAGACAGTTTGGCTAGTTGACTCCACACCCCTTTCAGGTTAGCCAATAGGAACTGCCGGTTGAAAATACCCCACCTTTGAGAAAGTCAGCAATCACTAGAACTGACCGATGGAACAACTCTCTGATCCCCCCCGTCCCCCAAGGCCACAGTCAGCGGGGAGGGCCCAATAGGAGCGGCAGTCACTGGGGCTGTGAAGGCTCACTTGTGACCCCCACTTCCCCTGCTGCTCAGGGTGAGTCTGCATTATGGGATCATGTGCCTGAAACGGCTCAACTATGACCGGAAAGACTTGGAGCGGAGGCGGGAAGAAAGTCAGACCCAGATCCGAGGTGAGTAGAAGAGTACAAAAGCCCCTCGGGGAGCCAAGTGGAGAGGTTTTAGGGGCAGGACTGGAGAAGGGGTGATTGGAGGAGGGAAGGGAGGCCAGGGAAAAAAGAAGCCTACCCTAAACCACGGGGTGGGGCCCGTATAGGGGGCGTGGCCTGAAAAGGGAAAATGGGGGTGAAGGTATGGGCTAAACCGGACGGGCCTGCAGCTGAGGGTCCCTTTGGTCCCCAGACGTGATGGTGTGGTCCAATGAGCGGGTCATGGGTTGGGTGTCCGGACTGGGACTGAAGGAATTTGCCACGAACCTCACGGAGAGCGGGGTGCACGGGGCACTGCTGGCCCTGGACGAGACCTTTGACTACTCCGACCTAGCCTTGCTCCTGCAGATCCCCACGCAGAACGCACAGGTGAGCTGCCGCTTGGCCCGGGTCATACTGGGCGTCCCCGCCTCGCAGTCTGCACGCGGCAACCCCCTCTCCCAACCTCTCCTCCCCAGGCCCGGCAGCTCCTGGAAAAAGAATTCAGTAACCTCATCTCCCTGGGCACAGACAGGAGGCTGGACGAGGTGGGCGCAGCGGCGGTTCAGGAGGCTGGGCTCCTGAGCAGCACCTTCAGGGTCGGAGCTGAAGGGGTCGGGCTAGACTTGTCCGGAGGTCGCGGTTGGAGGCGGGGCCAGGATGAAGCGCCTACAAGACGCGGAAGGGGCGGGGTCAGAGGAAGGGGCGGAGTCAGAAGCGGGCTCCGGCCCCTCACTGGACGCCCGGCTCCTGTACCTAGGACAGCGCCAAGTCCTTCAGCCGCTCCCCATCCTGGCGGAAGATGTTCCGAGAGAAGGACCTCCGAGGTGTAACCCCCGACTCAGCTGAGATGTTGCCACCCAACTTTCGTTCGGCCGCAGCCGGGGCCCTGGGCTCGCCGGGGCTCCCTCTTCGCAAGCTGCAATCAGAAGGTGGGTAGGTGGCTCCCCAAAGCGTCACCCTTCCTCCCTCCCCCTCCTTCTGGGTGGAAGAAGGACCCACTCAACATTCCAGAAGGCTCCCTCTCCAGGCTCTGAGACGGCCTCGCCCATTCTCTCCCACTCGTGGCAAATGGGCTGCTCCATATGCCAACCCTCTGCTCCGGGTGTGGAATGGATTAATCTCACACCCCCCTCCAGGGCGGGAAATGAACTCGCCTAGTGGCATCTGGGACACCTTGGATGAACCCAGTGCTGCGGGAAAGGGAGGGAAACAAGCGACGATTCAGGCTGTTATTGTCATTTCCGAAGGGGAAGTCTAAGGAAGGATGTTTGGGGTTGAGAGTCGGAGAAACCCTTGGCGGGGGTGTGTGTGTGGAGGGGAGGGGGCTGTTTGCGCGCGCGCTATAACCGCCGCTCGATCCAGGTTGAACAGCTGCTCGCTCTCCCTCCAGGCCAGACTTCTGGAAATTCCCGGGCAGACGGCGTTTCGGTCCGGACCTATTCCTGCTAGTGCAGGCCTCCAGGTGAGGACTGTACTGGGCAATCTTGGGGGTTCGGGTCGGCACAATGGATCTTCACTGCTCCACATGCTGCCCGGCGTCAATGCAGGTGACCTCACTCGAATGGAAGAATCTTCCAGAGGCTGGGCTGTTTCCCCTCCAGCCCAGAATGTGGTCTCGCCGGGAGCGCGGGCCGGGGAGCTCGCGCCGCGGTCTGGACCATCCGGACAGACTAGAGGGGAGCGCGCGCCCCTGCCTCACAAATGGACTGGGCCTGGACCAAACCACATGAACTGGACCGAGAGGGGAAGAGAAGAGGGCCGGAAGAAGTCCCGCCCCCAAACTTCCACCTCCCTTTTCTCTACTTTGTAATTTATTGATCAGTTTCCCATGGGAGATGGGTGCCCATTCCCTGCGGGAAGGGGGCGGGGCTTCTCTCCCGGGCCGCATGCGTGGAGAGGCTGCCCCCCTCTTTCTCCCCAGTCGCGGGGCCCAAGTCTTCCTTCTTCGTCCGAAAGGAGGGGAGGGGGGACTCGCTGCTACAAGCCTCGCCCCCTGTGCCACTCGGTCCCGCCCCGCCCCCTCTGGTCGCCTGCTGCCTGGGGTCAGCTGTGGGCGGGGTCCCTCTCCTCAGTGTCTCGTGTCCCCGGGGCCCCTCCGCCCCCCGTGCTGTGGCCGTGTCCGTGCCCCAGGGGTAGGGGACGCAGAACCGCGCTCCCCGTTCCCCTCCGGCTCCGGGGTTTGCATGGGAGAATCCTCTTTCCACGATGCCACTGGGCGATGTGGCGCGGGGGGAGGGAGGACGGTGGCCGCCCTCGCCCCAGACTCTTGGTCGGCCTCCCAGCCCCAGGCATCACTCAGTGATCACGGGTAAAGAGAACTGTTTCAAAAAACTCCCGTGTTGACTGATTTATTTATCAGGACCTTAAACAAGCCAACCCCCTCGAGGACCTGGGAGTCCAGGCCCTCCTAACTCAGAGTCGTGAGTCCAAGTCCCCAGTCACCCCCCGCGTTCCCCGATGCCCCGAGATGCCAGACCCTACGCCTGACAACGAGGTTTCGGGGAGCACGTTTATTCAGAGAAATAAATATGACTCGTGGAAAGGTGCTGGAGGGCCAGGGAGGTACGTGCGCGCCGCAGCGGCGCGTCCGGGTCAGGGTTCCGGAGTTTCCAGCATGTCCGCCAGGGCTCTGGAGAGTGGGACGAAGAGGTTAGACAACCGAAGAGTCCAAAGCTCACCCCAGGGCCCCGAGAGATCGTTAACCTTCCCATTTTGCCCACGGGGAAATGGAGTCCCAGGGTCGTCCGATAACTCAGCGAGACAGCGCCTCTCTAAACAAGGCCCTTAAACTATCCCGTCTGCACACTTACTGGTACAGGGACGAGGAGAAATAGTCGACGTAGCTTCCTGTGGGAGAGAAGAGAGAACAGGCTTGAGGGGCCTCACTTTTCATTTCGTCCGGGATCAAAGCTAACTCTGTCCGCTTTTCCTGATTTCTTCCCCAAACCGAATTCCCTCCACTGGGACTCCTTTAAAGGTCTCGCTCCTTTCTCCTTGCTCGGGGTGTCCCCATTCTCTGGTAGCCCCAGTCCTTCAAATGCTTCTTGTTTTGGCTCCGCCCACTCAGTTCTAGGCCCACCCCTCAGTCGTGCACCCACTCTCCCCTGCAGGTCTTCAGCACCTGTCCCCACCCTCTTTGCCCAGGCCCCGCCCCTCCGCGCTCGCCCGGCTCCACCCACAGACTCAGCCCCGGCCCAAGCTTCCACACCTCGCCTCGCCCCACAACCTCCTAATCCCGCCCCTCAGGTTTGGCTCCGCCCCCACCAGGTCTCGCCTAGCTGGGCCCCGCCCCTTCCTCAGGTTTCTCCTGAGCCCGCCCACCACGCTCACCTGGAGTGCAGACAGTTTCGCAGACCAGTGGGCAGAGGTAGCAGAACTGGCAGTGCTGGGGATGGGGAGAAACAGTGAGTGGCAGGCCTCGGCCAAGGGCAGAGTCAGGATGGGGGCGCGGGCTGGAGGCTAACTGGGTGGAGGTTAAGGTCAGAGGCAGGATCGAGTGTGGAGTCAGGGCTGCATTGGGGAAAGGGGTTTGCCAGTTGGAGGGCAGAGTCCAGGATGTGGGGCTGGGGGTGCGCCTCTGGTCCCGGGCCGTCCTGAGGCTGGGTGGAGTCTTGAGTCTGGGATACGTCTCACCTGGCACTGGTCACAGTGCTCTCCCATGTTCTCCTCGTCACAGTGACAGTTCTCACACTCAGTGCACCGCTGCGGATCGGAGCAGCCTGGTTAGACGGAAACCCTAACCCCTTTTGGGAGCCACCCGCCGGCCTTCCGCCCTGCCCCCAACTCCTCCCCCTCATTACTTCCAACACTGAGTGCAGTGTCTTCCCCCAAAGCCGCTTCTCCCTGCTTGGCTTCCTGTGGCGGGGCCTCCACGCTCCCCGGTCACCATGGACAGACCTGAGGACACTCTCGTCGCCCACTTTTCTCTATCCCCACAGTCTGTCAGTCTCCAGTCCCAGGGTCAGCCCCCTCCCCCGACTCTTTCTTGAGGACCTTCCTCTCTCCCACATCCCCAGGTGCAGCTCAGGCCTCACCCTCCCCTTCCCGGACCATTGCCCCAGCCTCCTCCATCGCCTCCTGGCCTCCAGTCTGTCCCTCACGTGGCCCCACAAGTGTCTCTCTTCACCTGGAACTGTCCCTGCCCTTCCTTTGCTCAGAGCCCTTCCAAGGCACCCCAGGGCCCTGGGACAAATTCCAGGGACTGCCTGGCGGATGGACCTGGGCTGGGGACATACATTGCAGAAGGAGCAGTAGCCACACAGGGACCCTGGCTGGTAGTTCCCGTACTCTTGGGCATCCTGCGGACCTGTGGGGACAGGAGGGCGACAGTGAGCCAGACCCGCTTGGCCTCTTCCTGCTCCCACGGGGCCAGAGCACTTACCCGTGTCCTCACCACTCTCTTCCTCACTGGAGCCACCTCCAGCCACCTCCCTCCTGGCCAGTGGGTTGGGGATGATGGTGAAGGGGATCTGGTCTTCGCCCAGCCCTTCCTCCTCCTCATCTTCCTCCTCCTGGTGGCCTTGGCTTGGTGGGACCTGAACCTCAGCCCTCTCTTCTTTCCTCTCATCCTCTTCTTCCTCGTCCTCCTGGCTCAGGCTGAGGCCATGACCTTCCTCCTCATCTTCCTCATCCTCCCGGTCCAGGCTGCCATGGTGGGTGCCTTCTTCTCCCTGTTCTGAGCCTTCACCCTCTTCCTCATGGGAGCCATGGTCTCCTTCCTTCTCCTCTTCTTCCTCAGAGTCTCCTTCCCCCAAAGGGCTTCTATCCTTGCCCCCAGTGGATTCTGGGAGCTGGTGGCTAATCTCTTCGCTGGACACTCTTTGGCCATCCCCCTCATCCCTGTGGCCTTGTGGTCTATGGCTGGGAGCTTGGTGGCCAGGCTTGGCAGAGCTGTCCTCATCTTCCTCCTTGGGGACTTCGTGATGGTGATGGCCAGGGACTGCTGTTTTATATTCGTCTGGGAAGTACTCCTCCTCAATGCTCCTGTGGCCTTCTGGCTGCTGGCTGGCCACATGGTGGCTGAACTTGACTGTGATCCCCTCCTCCTCATCTTCAAGGCTCTGGTGAGTATGTCTGGAAACCTGGTGCCAGTGTTCAGTGGACTCGTCCTCATCCTCATCCTCATCTTCCTTGTCTTCCCCGCCTCGGTGTCCGTGGCTGGGTTCATGATGGTGGTGTTCATCGGAGACATCATCCTCTTCCTTCCCGTGGCCTCCGTGCCCGTGGGCCAGGTGTTCATACTCAGCGGAGACATCATCATCATCATCATCATCTTCTTCTTCTTTTCTGTAGCCTTGGTGTCCATGGCCAGGGACATGATAGTGATCTTCATCTGAGACGTCTTCATCCTCTTCCTTGCCATAGTCTTGGTGCCTGTAGGCCTGGTGTCTATACTCAGTGGAGACATCATCACCGTCCTCATCCTCATCTTCTTCGTCTTCTTCGTGGCCTCGGTGCCCATGGCTGGGGACGTGATGTTGATGTTCATCGAAGACATCATCCTCTTCCTTCCCGTGGCCTTGGCGCCTGTGGGCCTGGTGTCTGTACTCAGTAGAAACATCCTCCTCCTCATCTTCTTCATCACTCTCTCCTCCGTGGCCTCGATGTACGTGCCTGCTGATACGCTGTGGATACTCACTGGACACAACCTCGTCCTCATCCTCGTCTTGGCGGTGGCGGTGGCTCCCGAGGCTGGGGAAGCCGTGCCCACCCTCTGCTGAATCATCTCCATCTTCATTGCCACGGTCTCGGTGCACGTGAGCCTGCTGAGCATGCCCTGGGAAGACCTCCTCCTCGGAGAGGTTCTCGTCTCCAGCCTCATGGCTCTGGTGCTTGTGGCCTTGGAGTTGGTGACTGTATTCCCTGGAGAGATCTTCGTCCTCTTCTCCGCGGTCTCCGTGACTCCAGAATCGATGTCCGCTCTCTGTGAAAACAGCCTCGTTCTCATCTCCGTAGCCTCTAGGGCTGTGCGCAGGGTGGCCAAACCCACCTGACCCGTCCTCCGAGGGCCCCGAGACTCCTGCATTGTTGTGCCAGTTGCTGGGGCCCGGCCCAGCCCCTCTCAGCTGCTGGGTCACGGCCGGGGGGAGGAGCAGGCTGGCCGCAGCAGCCCAGAGGAGAGAAGTGTGCAGCCATGGCCCCCAGTGGCCCATGGGGACGGACAGGCAGCAGAGCTTCTCCCGGGCTGGCTCTGGCCTCCGCTTGTGGCTCTGTGGATGAATGACGGGGGTCCTTGTCCCGTTTTGGGCTTTTCTCTTTCTCTCTGTGTCTTCGCTTTGCTGGGTCTCTCTCTGTGTTTGCCTGTGTGCCTCCCTCTGGCCCTTGCCACTGGCTCTGGACACCCCTGTGAGGCAGTCTCAGGAGCCCCCTGACCCCCCTCTTGGGCCCTCCCTCCCACTGCCCAGCCAATAGGGTCTCTCCCCTCCTCTCTCTGTGGCTAAATTTACTCTCAGCCCTGAGTTATTCTGGGTCAGTCCCGCCTGCCCTTCCCCTCCTGCTCCTCCTCCTCCTCCTCCTCCCAGCTGGTAAGGGGTGGGTGAAGGGGGTCTCTCCTTGGCCAGGAAGGGGGGGTGCCAAGGGACCTGACTTTGGATTACCAACAAGTTCATGTTTGGCAGCTGCAAAGACAACAGCTAGGCCTGTAACGGGTCCAGTTGGGGGAGCCTGGGGCCGCTGGGGGTGAGGAGAGATGAATCTGAGGGGTGAGACCACTGCCTTGGAAGGATCAGGGGCTAGACTCCGGGGGGCTTCTGGCCGGAAGAGGGTACTTTCCTGCGGGAGTGGACGCCAATATGGAGGCCTTGGGGAGGGGCGACAGGAAGCCTGCCGCCAGCACGCGCCTGGCCTCCGTGACCTCTGGTACCTGGCACTCAGACCTGGGGGCAGGGGAGCCGGCCAGGCCAGGGCTATAAATACAGCAGGGGGGCTCAGGTTACCCAGGAGGCTGCAGCTGTCCCTGTCAGAGAGGGCTGGCAAGTGACATGTGGCCCTGCCTGTCTGTGTGTCCATATCTCCCACTCTTCATCCTGTCACTTTAGCTCTTTGGGTCCCCATCCCCGTTTAGGGGTCTGCCTCTCTCTCATGGTTTCTGTCTCTCACGCCCTCAGGGTCCCTGGCCTCCTCCCACCCCCAACCCCCCACCCTCCAAGGATTCTGTCTCTCCTTGCTCTTCCGCTGGTCTTTCCCTCTCACGCTGGGTGTCTGCCCTCCACTCAAGTCTTTGTCTCCCCCTCTGGTCAATATGCCCCTTCCCTGTCTCTGGCATTTCCTCTCTCGGTCTTTTCTCCCTTTCTCTAGGTCTCTGTCCCCTCACCCTGAGCCTCTGTCCCTGTCTCTCTGAGGGTCTCCGGGTGTCTGTCCCCGTCTCTCCGTCTCCGACTGGCAGTCCAGTCCGGCCCTTCGCCCCGCCTCGCGCTGTACGCGTCTCGGAGACGCCCCGCCTCCCCGACCTTGGCCCGCCGCAGGATGGGCTGGGAAGTGGCAGATCCGGTTTGCTCAGGGCGGATCTGAAATCGGGGTTGGTGGAGGGAATGCGGGGAGCGGGATAGGTTGCGGCGGATGTGGCAGCATGGTGGGTCCGAAGGAACAGGTACGGTGGCCAGACCCTCGGGTCTGAGGGCAGGGAGCTGGGCGTCTAGGGTCTCCCGGTTCCCAGAGAGGAGGGTGCCGGAGACCCAGATTCTGGGGTCAGACGAAGGAGGGTTTTGAACGGCCCGGACTCCTGGGTCCTTGGGCGCGGCCAGGAGGGTGACTGGGGAAGGGGGTTTGAGAATCCTCCTGATGGGGGTCCTCAATCTAGGGGAGGAGGGCGCTGGGGTCCCTGAATCCTGGTCCTGGGGAAGGGCACGGGGTGAGGGACTCAGTGTCCCATGGGACTGAACTGGAGGCCTCCCACCCGCTCCCCTTGTTCCTGTCCACAGAGTTGGATCCCCAAGATCTTTAAGAAGAAGACGTGCACGACATTCATCGTAGACACCGCAGATCCGGGGTGAGGAGTTTGCGCTGGGGACCAGCCCGGCCGGCCGCGAGCCCCCCGCCGCTTTCGGCGACCGCGGACCCCGCCCACTGCAGATCCCATTCTTTACAACCCAACCCCCCCGTCCCCCCTCCCGCGCTCGGTCCTGACCCTGGGGACAAGTCCAAGGGCGTTCCTTGAATTGCGCTGTCCCTGGGGGAAGGTTTGGGTCTCCGCAGACACTTCCGATTTCCCATGCTCCTGGCTCAGGGTCAGTGTTGAAGCGCCAGGACTCTCCTCTGTCTCCTTCCTCCCCCTTATCTCTGTCTCCTTCTGCCACTTTCCGTTTTTCTTTTCTGGCTCTCTATTTTATGCATCCATCCATCCATCCATGCATCCATCCATCCATCCATCCAAGGAAGCTTCACTCAGCGCTCCCAAGACAACATACTTGTCAGGAGCACAGGCCCGCCTTGCCAGGGTTTAAATTTTACCTGGGGACACGTGCTGTGTGGCTTTGTGCAAATCGTTGCACCTCTCTGGGCCTTATCTGTCCTCTGGGCATAAAAGCAGACCCTGCCTGCTGGGGTTACCAGGGGACCAGAACGCTTGTGTCACGGCCGGAATGGTGCCCGGCACCTGGTAAGTGTTGAGAAATGCCTGCAACTCCCATGGGAAGGGAGCAAGCACTGCCCGTGCAGGCCCCAAGCCCGTGCTGGGGGGCGGGATGCCATGTGAGCCGACGGGCTGTTTGCCACCCGTGAGTGGCTCCTGGCTTTCAGCGACGGGCTCTCAAGTGGGCTCTGGCTTTCTAATTATGCTCAAGACCATCTTCAGGGTGAGAAGAATGTCAACAACCCTAACTTAGTGTGTGTTTTGTTGTGACTATATTATAGTAATGCAGCCTGGCTTGCGATTATGTAGAAATAAACAAAGAGAAGTTTATGGGGGTGAGTGCTCAGAACTTCCTGGTCGACGAGAGTGTGTTCGAGAGAGTTTAGGAACCTTCGGTCTAGTGAGAGGAGGGCAGCCGTAAGGCAAGGAGGTCGGAGCTGCAAAGGCCGTGCCACTGGGTCCCAAGGGAGGCGAGAGGAGGCGTCTGGCCAGGACGGGAGAGGAGACAGTGTCACTAATGTATCTTGGAGGGGGGGCCCGTGAGCTGACATTTGAAGGATGAGCGGAGTTTGACAGTTGAAGGCGGGCTGAGGAGGGGAACTCAGAAAGTGATTCCAGTAGTGGGAAGAGCATGTGCAAACTGCCCTCCATTGCCAATGCGATGTGGCTCGGCAATGGCTCCAAGTACAGGGAGTGAGAGCCTTGTTAGGAGACCCAAGAGCTTGGCTGGGCCAGAACTCCCGGGGCCTCAAATGCCACCCTGAGTGTCTGGGGCCTTGTCCCCACCCTCCGAAGGGACAGGCAGCTATGGGTGTGGAAAGACCCTCTGGGAGCCACATGAGGGGGCGTAGGAGTTCAGGAAGCCAGGGGAGAGGTCACTCGAGGGTCCGGGTGGGAGGGGAAGATGCCGGAGCCAGGCCAGGGCTGTGGGGACACAGGAGGGGAGGAGGGCAGGAGCTTGGGGACTGATGGATTTGGGGTGTAAGGACAGTGGCTCCTGGACATTTGGCCTGGGGACTGGGAGACAGTTGGGTTGTCCCCACGATGAGAGACCCAGGAGGATGGGCAGGTTTGGAAAAATTTTCGGAGCTCAGTGTGAGACCTAGTGCGTCAGAGGGACTGGGGACCCCAGGGCCCTGCTGACCTGGGTCTGGGACTCAGAGGAAGGGCTGGGGCCAGTCCTGGGTGCTGGTGGTGGTACTGGAAACCGGAAGTAGGCGACATGGTTCGATGCAGAAGTGTGCAGTCGGGGAGGCTGCAAACTGGCAGTTCTATGGCTAATTTTTTTTTTTTTTCATGGGAGAGCAGTTTGAAAAAACTTGTCTCTGAGTACCCCAAGATAAACATGCATGCCTTAAGTCACCAGGCCTCTGGTGCAGCCACTTACTTTCTACCCGATGCTTCTTCCCTTTAAACTTGCCTGGGCTTTGGGGGCGGTCAGTTTGAGACCTGGTGTGGGGAAGCCTTGTGGTCCTGGACCTGGGACGCCTACACTCCAGAGAGGCACAGAGGAAGAGGAAGCCACAGAGGAGGGAGAGACAGAGTCTCTAGGGTGGCAGATGTGCTCCGCCAAGGGAAAGGTTTTCTAGCCCTGGGTGGTGGCTCAGTGGATTGAGCTCCGGCCTGTGATCGAAAGGGTCGCTGGTTTGATTCCCAGTCAGGGCACAGGCCTGGGTTGCGGTATCTCTCGCACAACGATGTTTCTCTCCCTCCCTTCCCCTCTCTCGAAAAATAAATAAATAAAATCATAAAAAGCAGTAGTGTGAACAGTCTCTAAAAAAAAAGTTTTCTAGAACAAGAGCCTTTCAGCTGTGACCAGTGCCGCTTTGCGATAGTCAGACGAGACCTGAATAGAAGCCATTGTATCTGGGGACGTGCGGGTAATTGCCGATCTTATCAGGAACAATTTCAGGTTCGGTGGCCACACTGAGAGGCAGGAGGGTAGGAGGGTGAGGAGTGCAGCAGGGAGTTGGCCTGCCCTGCCCACCAGAACTTTCTGCAAAGGCAGGAATGTTCTACGTCCATATCCAGTAAAGCGCCACTGGCCACAGCAGCGGAAAAACTTAATTTTTAATTGCAGTTAATTTTAATTTACTTGAATATAAAGAGCCCCATGTGGCTAGGGGCTACTGTATTGGATAGCTCAGGCTCTGAAACACCTCATGAATCAGATTTGCAGGGAAGGGCTAATGGGAAGCAAATGGAAGGGAATGAGGGACTCCAGAAATGGCATTGAGATAGGTGAAAGGATCAAGTGGTTAAACTGAGGCATGCCAGGAGCCTGAGGCAGACTCAGAAAGGGGGAGGGGCGTGTCCTTCACTGTGGGCTCGCTGTGCCAGGAGCTGAGTGTGTCCTGTTCGTCCTGTGTGTGGGTTGGGCGGCCATTCTTTTATTTGTTTATTTTTTTAAAGATTTTATTTATTCTTAGAGAGGGGGAAAGGGAGCGAGAAGGAAAGGAAGAGAAACATCCTTATGTGAGGAAAACACTGATTGGCCGCCTCTTGCTCTCCCCAACTGGGAACCAGCTGTCACCCAGGCACGTGCCCTGAGTGGGACTTGAACCGGTGGCCTCACTTTTTGGCGACAACCCCCAACCCACTGAGCCCCACCTGCCAGGGCGGCCATTCTTTTGCTGACCGAAGTTTTGTCTCACGGCTCTTACTGGATCCATGTGCCGCTGTGCTGTCTCCTTTCCATAAAACCGGTCCATAAGTCACAGCTCACTCTGTTTACATAAAGGCAGGTGTCCCCTCGATCTCAGTCCCTTCTGGGATTGGGACCCAAGAGACTTGGGTACATGTGCAA